AGCTTCCATTTCATCAGTGCTCTTTTGGGCTCCACTGATTCCCTGTGTCATTTGGAGAGTCTCTTCTGATGTACTATATGCTTTTGCAGATATTTAACATTCTATAATTCTATAATCAACGTTTCTTATAAATTGTTGCTTCTCCTTCCTCCCCAAAGCTATTATAATGTAAAATTAATTAGAGTAATAACCAAATATAATTACATGAAGACCATTTTATAAAACTGGATAAAATCTTACATAAGACATAGCATTATACTTGTTTTGCAAAAATTATGGGAACTTTAGATATTGCAAATAGCTTCAGTTCATTATTATTATTTTTTTTTAAAGAAAGCCAAGTTGATCAAGGGTTCATGAGGGAGGGGGGAGTTGGGAAGGAGGGGGAAAAATGAGGAGCTGATGCCAGGGGCTTAAGTGAAGAGCAAATGTTTTGAGAATGATGAGGGCAATGAATGTACAGATGTGCTTTACACAACTGATGTATGTATGGATTGCAATAAGAGTTGTATGAGCCCCTAATAAAACAAAACAAAACAAAAAAGCCAAGTTGAACTTGGTAATCTCTAAGTACCTTCCAACCTAATGATTAATTTCTGTCATAGGAAAAATCAGTAATGGCAAACCCAAACCAGATTCATTGTCACTGAGTTGATTCTGACGCATGATAACCCCATCAGACAGTACAGAACTGCCCCCTAAGGGCTCCTGAGACTGTAACTCTTTCCTCTGGGAGTAGAAAGCCTTGACTTTCTCCTGAGGAAGTGGTTTGGAACTGCTAACCTTGTGACTAGCAGTCTAATTAAGTAATCATTATGCCACCAGGGCTCCCCAGTAATGGCAAAGGTTAAAATGATTCTCTTTTAAAAACTTAATGATTGCAGTTCCAATTGAGAATAACATCATGGTGAGGCCTAGTAAATTATAGAAATCTTTTTTTCTTTTCTATTGTATTTTTAGAAATAATTTTGTGGCAGAATATATAAAACAAAACAAAAGAAGATATTTCAAAAAATTCATGAATAAATGGAGTTAAAAACATGATGGAATTTTCCAAGCCTCTGGAATCTCAATGGTGGTGTGCACTAAGCACAGCCCTGCTAACTTCAAAGTTAGCGGCTCAAACCCACTAGTTTTTCCTCAGGAGAAAATTGAGGCCATCTACTCCTGCAAGTAAAGACTCAGTCTCAGAAATCCTATTTGGGTTGCTGTGTGTAAGAATTGAATTGAGGCTTACATCTTGTTGGTTCGTCCGACTTTGGCAATACACACACATACACAAACAGCCTTTTAAACTATTTTTTAAAAATGTCTATTTTGTAGTTCTTGTTATAATATACATCAATCGAACATTTTTACACACATAATTAAGAGGCATTCTTCAAGTTATTTTACCACCATCATCCGTGTTTTCTTAGTAGTTCCTACTTCATTAACATACACTGATTGTCCCTGAACCATTCACTGCTATCTGGTCAATGCTGAGTCACAGTGATACCCCCTGGGTTTCTGAAACTGTAACTGTTAATGGGAGTAGAAAGCCCAGTTTTTCTCCTGAGGAGCTGCTAGTGGCTTCAAACTGCCGACCATGCAGATCACAGTCCAACTCATAACCACTACATGACCAGAGCTCCTTGAGTTCCTATGTAATCATTAAGAATGCGGGAAGGGAGGAGGGAAAAATGAGGAGCTGATGCCAAGGGCTTAAGTGGAGAGCAAATGTTTTGAGAATGATGAGGGCAACGAATGTACAAATGTGCCTTATACAATTGGTGTATGCATAGATTGTAATAAGAATTGTATGAGCCCCAATAAAATTATTTAAAAAAAGAAGAAAAATTCACAATTAAAAAAAAGAATGCTATTGTCAACTTGATAGATATTAAAGGAGCACAATGCTGATTCTTTCGGTTAACTTATATGACTCTAAGGCAAAAGAAGACTTCAGGTTGTGATTGTGGTCTTAGGCACTTAACTATTCCTTAATGTACCATTCAATGGCACTGATTGCATTCCCCAATTTATAATAAAAAGAAAAACATGCTTGCTACGCTTTAGAAATACGTTGGTCAGTATATTAAAATTACCAAGTTCAGATGCTTCTTAATTACATTTAAAAAACTTGATTCATCAGTAGGCTAATAAGCAGTTTCAGGATCAATTTTAGTCAGTTAATATAATCAAGGATAATACTTACCCCCCGTTTCTGTATTATAGTAATATGTATAACCATCTTCACTTAAACCTTCTACCCAAACGGACTTCGCTATCTAAAAGGAGGAATTACAAACAGCATGAACCAAAGTCAACCACTGGGTTTACACAATGAATAACTAAGACAGACTCAGCCACCCTTGGCTTTCCTCTTGATACCTACAGACTAGGGGTGGTAGGACTGACCATGGCCAGGAAACTCAGTTTGTGTTTATTGTGAACCAACTTCCAGGGAGAGATGATCACCTCTGAAAGCCAGGAACCATTCTTTACAATTGGACAGGGACATGTGAATGGCAATGATGTGCAAAACAGCCAATAATATTTGCCCAGCATTTAGTTTTTGGGTAAATGTTACTTTTCATCTCCACCCAGACTTCTCACAAAAACATTACAGAAAGAAACAACCATGGGGACAGAGGGGAATCCTCTTATTTGGAAGTACATTTGCTTAACTAAACTCTATAAAACCCAATCACTTAAAATGAAAAAGTATAGACACTATTAATGTGCTTCAGTTACCTTTTTTAAGTTTCCTTGAAATCCTTCAGGTTTTTCCCACTGAGATGCTTAAAGGAAAATACATTGCATTTATAAAACTTTTATCTTAAAAAAATGAGACTTAATTTGAAAATTTAAGTTAGCAAATTTTATACAATATTCATTGTTTACAAAGCATTATGGGTATAGTTTAAAACATAAATAAAAAAACAACATACACCCAGTAGTATTAAGCAGAAAAAAAAATGAGAGCTACAAAACAGTGAAGGACAGAATAAAGATTTAGAAGTTATTGGAAATTCCACAGAAATTAGATGCAGGGGAGGGTTCTCTCAAAAGACACCAAGGAATTGAAGATTGAGCAGGGCAGTGTGAGAGAGGAAATGAATACTGACTCAGAAGAGAAACGGGATAAGGTATATAGAAATCAAACAGTTTTCACTAAAAGCAAGCGTCTATGAAATGAAAATGGTGGACAAAGGAAAAGTATTAAAAGGCAGGAAATGACTAAGGAAATAGTTACTAAGTAATTTCAAAGAGATTTATACACTTATTTCTTATCAATCATCCCATAATTCAATATTTATATTCATATACCAAAAATGTATATAGTCAAAATAGTCATCTATGATAATAAAATATCGAACTACTTTGCCCATTAGTTGACGTCCAAGCGGCAGTCATGAATGCTAAGGTGCGAGGTAAGTAACGTTGGTTGTGCTTGTTAAGGTTAGAGTCAACCCAGCTGGGCTGTTCTCAGTGGTTTGACAGTTACTGAGTGATGCAATCTGGCAGTTATGTAGCCATGTAGTAATCTTGCACTTCTGTATAACATCAATTTTTATATAACGTCATGGTCTTTAGAACCTGACCAGTTGGGTATAATCCCTGACATACAATTATTTATGATACAATCATTGCTAAACTATAACACTTTATTTAAGGGTCAGTGGACACAAAATCTGGGAATTATTATTTTCTTGGGTACCCAAGAAAAATCGAATTGCACTGGGCAGAGAACTTTCATGGTAGTACACATTTTCCCCACTAAGTGAACATGGAGCAACTCGCTGTGAGTTAGTGTACCCGGTGGTGGTGTCTGGGAAGGTATCTTTGGCTACAGCGAATTTTTTCATAAAAGCAGTTTTACTTGAACCTTGTTTTTTGTGCTAGATGATTTAAGAGAACAGTGTGCAACTGTGAAATTTTGTTTCCTTCTTGGGAAAAACACTGTTGTGACGTTGAACACAGCTTACAAGGACAACGCTATGGGAAAAACTCAAGTGTACAAGTGGTTTTCTCGCTTCAAAAAAGGTGAAATGTTGATATATGGTAAGTCTCGTTCTGGACATCCGTCAACTTCCCAAACAGATGAAAATGTTGACTTGTAGCATTTTGGAGTTTGCTCCACCAGGTCAGACCGTTAAGCAAGCTTTCTGTTTAGAGGTTCTGAAAGATTGCTTAATTGTGTGACAAAAAAAGGCCCGGTTTGTGGCAGACGGGACTGATTTTGCCACCATGACAATGCACCTGCTCATGCAGCCATCTCAGTGAGCCAGTTTTTGGTAAAAAACAGCATCCCTCTCTTGCTCCATGCACCTTACTCACCTGACCTCACTCCATGGAATGAAGAGGGACATGAAAGGACAGTGATTTGAAGAAAAAAACAAACGAGGGAGGTGAGTTTGAAAAATGCTTCCAAAAATGGAATCACAGTTTTGACAAATGTATTAAGTGTAATGGAGAATACTTTGAAGGTGATAAAGTTGTTTTGCACAAAAAATTTAAATACATAGCTTTCCAAAAAAACATTGGTTTTTTGGGGAGGTACCCCCATAGTGTTGATGTAGTCCAAAATTGAGATGATAAAGATATTATAATAATAATATTTGTTTCCCATGCTTTTCTTCATGATTAACTCTGATCCTAATTTCTCTTTCTGACCATTCTATCCTTTTTTACTGTTTTTTCCTTCTACTCTTCACTTTGTTATATATGAAGTGGCTTCCAAAAGTTTGTGAGATGCTTTTATTATCTTCTAATTCATTTTTTCCCATGACTTTTTTGAAGTCCACTTGTTTATTATGTTCTTTTTTCACTTTTCTTTTCTTACCCTCTGATCTAATCTATGATACATCATGATAGTTAACATGTCAGTATTTTTGCTGTTCTACACCCCCCAACTCCATTTATCTAATCCAATCAATTAACTTCTGTAAACTGCCACATGGTTTATATGTACTTCTATTTCAATATGTCAAAAATTGAATTCATTAATGTCTTCCTTAAATGTGTTCCTTTATTTCTTCTCTTAGTAACCAGTACCATCATTCTATTATCTTTCCAGCCTTGCTTCTGCTGTGGCGTCTTCTAAGAGTGTCATGCTTCATCTCCACCATACTTCCCGAACACCAACATTCAAACTATTTTTTTTTAAACCATTTTTGCTTTATGTTGTTCCAACTGCCTAGGATGTTAAACTCTCCTGATCGACTAAAATCTTAGTCAAGATACTTAAGAGTGTCTGCATGTGCCAGGCACTAAGTTAGGTGCTAGGGATACAAAGACTGAGTGAAATGACATGATTCTCCATATTCCCATCTCAATTTACATATCAGGTAACTGCTGTGATAAACTCTAATTCACCTTATCAAAATTAATTCCTCAATCTTTTAAGCATCTACGCAATCTTGATCATACTTCTAATACGGCACTTGGAAGGATCCCTGTTGGCCTAGTGGGTTATATTTGGGGCTGCTAACCACAAGGTCAGCAGTTCAACTCCACCACTTGCTCCACAGTTGAATGATGAGGCTTTTTACTCTTTTTAGATTTACAAGGCTTGGAAACCCAAAGAGAACTATCATGCCAAAGAGGGTCATATGAGTGGGCATTGACTCGATGACACTCAGTAAATAATGGCTTTTGGTTTAAGAGTCCTGGTGACATAGCAGGTTAAGGATTTAGCTGCTAACCATAATGTTGGTAGTGCAAATCCACCAGCAGCTCCATAGGAGAAAGCTACGGCTGGCTATCTGTTCCCTTAAAGATTTAGTGTCTGGGAAACCCTCTATGCGTTGGAATCACCCCAATGGCAGTAGGGTAGGCATGGCACTTTAAACTTCCTTCTTATATCATGCTTACCTGTTTATTCCAGTCCCAAATTTAAGTTTCTAGAGCACATGATCGTATAGACATGTAGAGTAAATATTACTTATTTCTATGGAGTAGAAGACCTAAATCTGTTTAGTTTTAAAGGGAAACAAACACATGTTTTTAGTATTCCTATTGGGGAAAGGTATCCTTCTTACATAGATACCTCAAAAAAAAGTTTTTGCCTCCCACGTTTTGGGATAGAAAATCAATGGTACTTAATGATTTGCTTTTAAGAACATGATAATTTTCAAAGGTGGATCCAAAATGCTTTATTTCCATGCAAGTCTGTAGTTTATGCTCTTTTAATTGAAAAAAAAAAAAAAGCTATAGTCTATCTGGGAGAAGTCACTTATCAATGAATAAGCATGGTACAAAGTCACGAAGAAAAGGGTACCTTTTTAAAGGGCGCATGCAAAAAAAGTTCAAATATTAAATAAAACTCAGAGCACAATAAGCCGTCAGTTGTTGTTCTCCATTACTTCAATATCTAAATAACTTACCTCCCGTGATAAGATCATAATAGTAATGGTAACCCTCAGAAGTTATGCCTTCTACCCATCTGCCCTTTGAAGGGTCTTTTTTCTTTTTCTTCTTTTCTTTCTGCTGATTTGATGCAGAAGCAGGTGGGGTGGTGCTGGCTACTGGTGTTATAGCTGGTTCTGGAATATCTAGGAAAAAAAGAAAAAGGTACTGAAGAAGCCAGATAAACTCATCCCTGCTGAGCATACTAAGGTTATTCTAATCAAAGATAACCCCAAGATTATCTTTGAGAACTGACACACAGATTATAGGGTTCATTTGGAAAAATAAACAGGCAAGAACATTCAAGAAAATGATAAAGTCACAAGAGGAAACAGTCGTATCAAGTATTAAGACTTACTCTAAACCTATGGTATATAGACGCCGAACAGTGTAACTTATGACAAAACTACAATAATTTATGAATTATGAAGGGTTCATGAGGGAGGTGGGAGTGGGGAGGGAGGGGGAAAATGAGCAACTGATATTAAGGGCTAAAGTAGAAGGCAAATG